CAAAAGAACTGTCATTCATCCCTGGACTCTATCTGCAGATTCTTCTATGTGAGACAGAAATAATCTACTTTGCTTAAGCCATTTTTATTTTGGGCTTCACTGTTGCTGTAATATCGTTATAATTAGTATGGTAATACAGAGGCTCCCTTTCCTGAGAGATAAAGGATCAAGTTTGAGCAGTGAGCAGTTATCTTTTGGACACTTGACTAATTTATTATCTTGTAACACACTATTGGACTTTCTTTCTAGTTGTAATATATGACCAGATGGTGCCAATCAGTCTCTTTCATTCTTGGTACAGTTCCAATCTTTTTCTGGAATTACTCACAGCTCTCTATACACACCCCTCCCTTATACAGATAAAGAAAAGTAAATGTACCTTATGAATAGTTAAAATACATATTACATTTATACTCTTCTACTTATCAAAACAAACTAAAAATATCCTATTATATTCATTCTTCACTTCATAGTGACTTTTTCCTTTAGGAATATCACTATGGAAAGTCATAAATTTAAAAAATTCACCTTGTTCTAATTAACTATGTTATTTTTCTCTTGATGATCAAATTGTCACAGAATGCCAGGTGTTTTTAAAAACTGGTTCCTTTACCTTCTCAGCTTTATTCTATACATCCTTGCTTATTGTCTTCAACAACATGTTCCAGGCCTATAGTTATTTGAGATAAGGAGCTATTCTCCAAGTAACCCTGGGTCCTTTTAAAGGTGAGTAATATTTGAAGCAAAGATCCAGGTGCTAAGAATGCATATCAGATTTTTTCCTAATGTTGTTTCTATGCTATCTTAGTAATAAAATTGGAAAAAATTATGTCTTTTGAAAACCACACATTCACATTGGTATTTCCTATTTAACTCAAGCATTACTAAATCTTTTTTTGACTCTAACATACAGTTTTCCTTTTTTAAAAAATAATATGTTTTTATTGATTTGAGAGAGAGAGGAAGGGAGAGGATGAGAGAGAGAGGGAAACATTGATGAGAGAGAAACATCAATTGGCTGCCTCTTGCAAGCCCCCCACCAGGGATCAAGCCCGGAACTCTGGCATGTGCCATGACTGGGAATAGAACAGGCAACTTTTTGGAGCATGGGCTGATGCTCAACCAACTGAGCCACGCTGGCCAGGGCATAATCTTATACTTATTTTCTCTACAACATACCTGCTTGTATCCTGGAGTCTCTAATCCAAACTGTAATGGCATCTTTTATCTTTAGTGATCTTATAGTGTCTCATCAACTATCATTCTCTAGTTACTTTATTGATAGAGTCATCCATGCTGGACCAATTGGACAGCCAGGTAAGAGAGTGTATAATAATGGCAGGAGAGTGGTTGAAGGGATGCATCATTGAAACCAAGGAAATAGGAAGTTTAAAAGGAGGCTAAGATAGCACAGATCAGGGGAAAGAAGAGAGGTTGTGGGATATTCCACAACAGGTTTGGTGAAGGTATTTGATAGAGCTGGGAGGAAGGAGGTGGTGGCTAGAACATGAAGTGATTGAACTTTAGACTACAAAGGTTGAGCACTTTTAAAAGATTGCTATGGTCATTGATGTGTTCCATGCCTGGAGATCTACACTTGTCCACAGGTGACCTTCTACCCCCACCAACAGCTGCCCAAGGAAGCACTGTATACCTGCTCTCAGCCAGAGCAAACACACACACACACACACACACACACACACACACACACACCCATGACTCAGGTGGGGAGGTGAGGGCCAGAGTCCATTTGGGACCTGTACAGATGAACACCCAGGTTCGCTGCCTGCTGGCTGCCCCAGTGTGCAGGAAAAATGTGTACCTTGTTCAGGCTGGTCACATGTCCCATTCCTGTCCTACCAGCCATAGGCTCTGGGCTCCTCAGTGGCCCTCCCCACAATTATACTGGTGGCTGAGCCTCCTGCCCTCGTCCATATGGTGCTGGCTCAGCTCCTGACTGTTGGCAGAAATCCGTGATGCTGGCACTCCTCACAGGAAGGAGCCTGTAGGGTATGATGAGGCCAGTCCATCTGGGCCCTTGTGGGGGCCTGTCAGGTTCACCTGTGCCACCTGTTTCCAAGTAGCACTGAGCTAGAGGCTGGGGGTGGGGTGGGGGAAGGAGCAGCAAAGTCTGCAAAGTATCGCAGGACTTTTTACCTGCCAAATCCTGCCCTGATCCTAAGGTCGCAGACAGAGAGATGCAGTGAGAGGTTGTGAGGGCATGTGAAAAGGGGGAGGGAGGTTAGAGGGGCCCGTCCCTAGATATAGCTCTACTCATCACCTTGGGTGTTTGGCACAAGGTCCCATGCAAGAAGGTGGAATTCAGGCAGCCAGAGGGAGCCTTTCTCCTGCCCCAAAGATGTTGCTTCTGGGGCAGGGGAGGGCAGAGGACAGAGGTCAGGGGCTGGATTCCCATTCTTGAAAGGCTTGAGCCCTCAGAGTGGGAAGATGAGGAAGCCAGAGAAGCTTGAATATTTCCAGCCACCCAGCAAGTTCCCCCGACGAAGGCGCAGAGACACCCGGTCCCCGGGGTCCAGGGGCAGTAGCACAGAGCTGGTGGCTGCCTCCCGGGTCACATCAGGGTCATTGGCAAAGGCTGAGATGACAGGCCATGTGTTCAGCATCAGGCTCACCTGGGAAGGGAGACCAGTTAGCGTCTCTACCCAGCCCTTGTCCTAGGACCCCACTTTTCTGAGGGCTACTCCTCTTCTCCCAGCCCCAGAGGGACACTCTGGAACCTGGGAATCTGAGGCTCAGTGCAATCTCCTGGGAGAGCTGAGGGGGTAGCCAGTGTTACACTCTGAAGATCCCCCACTCTCTGGGAGGCAGGCCCTTTCCTCCCTTGCTCCTGGCCCCCCAGGACACAGGCCAATGGGGGTCTGCCCAGGAGTCAGCTGGGCTCCACTTATTCCTCCCCCCACCCGAGTCTGGACAACAACAGGGCCCAATGTTCAGGTCACCTGGACGGTTTGGCGGTTGTACACCTTCACCACGTGGAACCTGAAGCTGTAGACACCTCGGACAGGGGCCACGAAGGAACCTGAGGCGCGATCAAAGCCACCGCCCTCATTCACCAAGACCTGGGGGAAGCAGACCCTGCTGAGTGGGCTGGGGAACGCCTGGGGCTCAGGGAAACCACTGGGTTGAATGATGAGGCAGTGAATAAGGAAAATAGGGAGTTGCAAGTAGCTTCCCACAGGAGGAATGCACAGATTAAAAAAAAAATAGTGAGAAAGGGCAAGGAGGTGTAGGGGTAAGAGTGAAGGGAAAGGAGATGGGCAGAGGGGCAGAGAGGCCATTGGCCATAGCAGGGCTGTCTTTTTAGCAGCAGAGTGGGCTTGCATTGATTCCAGGTCCTTGCAGGGTAGGGGGTTACCTGGTCAAAATAGATGGCCCCATTGGTGCCGTTGCCCGTCTCCCCTGCTGGCTCATGGTGGTGGCTTCGAACTGCAGCAAATGCCACTCTTCCAGGCGGCGCTTCTCCCAGAGCTGCTCCTCCAGGCCCCCCTGCAGCAGCCCTGCCGGGCTCACAGACCACCAGGCACTCGCCCTCCAGGAGAACCGGCTCTGACCCTTCCTGGGCCCATCCGGTCGCCAGCGCCAGAAGCGTCAGGGCCAAGGGCAACCAGGGGTTGGGAGCAAGACCTGGTAGCCAGAGTCGCTTTGCTCCCAGCATGGCTGAGTGGCTGTGACCCACAAGTCCTGTCTTCTTGCTACTCCTTTTAGTTTCTACTCTTCCCCCAGACTCTCAACAGTTCTCACCCTACTCCTTAGCCCTCTCTCTGCGTCTCCCTGTCACCTGGTCTCAGCATCTCCCTCTCCATACCACTCCGTGCCCCACAACTCTGTCCTGCCTCTCACTCCTGCTGTCACTGCAGTTCCCTCCTCCTTGGCAGGGCACAAAATGACAGCAGTTGGGCTCTGGGAGGGAGAGGAGAGATGAAGCAGCCAGACAGGACGGCTACAGCCAGAACCCCAGGCAGCCTCTCCAGAGAGCACTGACGACTGGAACTGGGACGACAGAGAACGTGTGTGTGTGTGTGTGTGTGTGTGTGTGTGCGCGCGCGCATATGTGCAGGAGACGGCTCCTCCGGTCCTTCCTCCTCCTCATTCCTCCCCTCTTCAAAGTCCCTCACAGCACTCTCAGTGGCACCTTTTCCATTGTTAGGAAGGAAAGCCCTTGTCTTTTTCCCACAATTGTTTTGGTGGAAAAGTACTTGGGCCCACAGTGTCACTCGGCCAGTCACTTTTCCTCCTTGGCCTTCCAATAGCTTCACCTGCAGGGCCTGAATTCGTCCCTTTAAAACTCTCTTCACCTCTGACTCTCAATCAGTGGTGCCTCTTTCCTGAGAATACGGAGAACAGCAGGAACAGAGGGATCAGCAGAGGAGGGAGACC